GGGTGACCGAGGCTGGTCGAAGCAGCCGCTTTGGATCCAGGCCCTGGAGCTTCATGAGGCCTTTGTCCGTGATGCGCTCGCCACGGTTGGAAATGAAGAAGGCCTTGCTGCCAGCCCTGTTCTTCGTCAGGCACGGCGTCGCGCCCAGCAGCGCACCTCCGCGATTCTTCCCAATCACCTTGCTCGCCTCGAGGTCCACGACCTCGGAGGCGGAAGGGGGGAGAGCGCGAGGGAGAGCCGGAGAGGGAGGGAGGGGGGGAGGGAGAGAGGGAAGGAGGCAGGGAAAGGGTGAGAGCGAGAGAGAAGAAAGAGAGAGAGAGAGAGAGAGAGAGAGAGAGAGAGAGAGAGGAGAGAGAGAGAGAGAGAAGAGAGAGAGAGAGAGAGAGAGAAGAGAGAGAGAGAGAGAAAAACAAAACAAAGAGAAAGAGAGAGAAGAGAGAAAGAGAGAAAGAGACAGAGAGAGAGAGAGAGAGAGAGAGAGGAGAGAGAGAGAGAGAGAGAGAGAGAGAGAGAGAGAGGAGAGAGAGAGAGAGAGAGAGAGAGAGAGAGAGAGAGAGAGAGAGAGAGGAGGGAAGGGGGCACGGAGGGAGGGAGTGAAGGAACACGACGGCGACGGCGACGACGACGGCGACACTCTTTCTGCCTTGAGTTGTTCCTTCCACCTGCTCCACCGCCCTCCCACCCTCGCCCTCCCCCTCTCCGGGCCCCTCCTCCACTGCTCGACGTTTGAAGGGTTCGAGGCCCATTGGACCCAGGGCTCCGTGATATGCCCATTCTGCATGATGTAGTTCATAGCGTTGTTAAGGTTGGACAAGTTCGTCGTGTTCATGCTGTCGATGTCGGGGTTATTCGCTTTCGCAGCGATGCACTTTCCAATGAACTTGTGAATGGGCTGCATGGGGATATCTGAAGGCCATCTCATTGGGTAAACCTGCTTCGCTTTGAGGATCCCCACGATGTAAACCCTGGTTCTCGACTGAGGTATTCCACTATGTTTTTTCGTGTCCATCACGCTGTAAGAGATATCGTATATGCCAAGCATGTCCAACCTGTCCAGGATGTGCCCGAAGAATGCGGAATATTTCGAATGAGTGGCCAATGCAGCAACGTTCTCGAAGAGGAAGATGGTAGGTTTTTTCTGTTCGATGTAGTCCACGCCCTGATCCATCAGTCTGCCGTCGGGATGCGCGTCGCCCTCCTCCGGGCGAAGCGGGGCGAGGTGACGGCAGGGGGGCGACGACGACGACGACGACGACGAGGATAGTAGTAGTAGTAGTAGTAGTAGTAGTAGTAGTAGTAGTAGTAGTAGTAGTAACAGCAGGGGGGCGACGACGACGACGAGGATAGGCCCCGCCCACCCATCTGGGAAAACTTCGTGCAGGGGGCCCCGTTCACGTAGACGTCCACCTTAGGGAGGTCGTTGACGGAGCGCTGGGTAATGTCCTCATGAACGGCCCCGATCTCAGGGTAGTTGTGGCGGATGATGCCCCTGATGGACGGCTCGATCTCGCAGGCGAACGAGTGCTTGATGTTGTCGGGCCCCACGAGGGTCTCGAGCGCCAGGACTTCTGAGCAAAGACCAGAGCATTCGGAACCTACACGGATTTTCGTGCCCAAGAAACTGGTTGATGCGCCTGCTGGTTTTTTTTTAGTGTGAGGCTTGGCGACCTTAAGCCTCTGGGATTTCGCCGCGGTTTTGGAGGCCTTCCTTCCAGGCGGCTTCTCGAAGCCAAAATCATCCATTGCGCGCCGCAGACCGCTGGTGGGCTCGCCCGCCCACGCCAGGCCTGCTACCGCACCTTGATCTCAGGGCGGCTGCATCTCCATTCCCCTTCGGGCTTGGGGCGGGGATTAGGCAGGGGGAGTCGCGCCAGAGAAACCCCGATCAGTTGTTCGAGGGGGCCCGCGGGCACGCGAGGCTGCGCCAGCCCGTCTCAGTGCAAGCGCCGTTCTAGGATACGTGGAAATACACACATAACAGGGTTCTCTTCCCACCCTCTTCTCCCCCTCCGAGGAAGGGATTGCCCCTCCCCCTACCCCCCGCCCCTGAGCCTGGACCTGGACGGGGGGAGGCGGTCCAAGATGGCCCAAGATGATTCCAAGAGCACGTCGGAGAGCCCAGTATGCTTCAAGATGGCTTCCAACATGTTCCACCAAGCTCCAAGACCACCCCAGGCTCCACGTGTAGCTCAAGAGCTCCCCAAGGAGGCCCCCAATAAGCCGAAACCTATCCAACACCTGAAGAAACCAATGCGTTTGCGTTCTCGCCTTTCCCTTTCCAATGGCAAACCGATGCTCCAAGATGGCCCCATAGATGGCCCGGGGGGGCGCCTAGAAGGACCCAGAGGCGATTGTAGGCACACTAGAGGGGCGAGCTCAATGGAAGCTCCCCTCTTGTTTGATCGACGTCCTCAAAGATGGCCCCATGAGGATGGCCCCGAGGCTTCCCCGAAGCCCCCGAGACGCCGCGCACGCGCGCAGGCCCCGCGAGACGCACCCGACCCAGCGACAGCGACGCGACGTGGGCCACACGGGAAGCCCAGGAGAGAGGGCAGCCCACGAGCGGCCAGCAGGAGGGCAGGCCCTCGCCGACGAGCAGAGAGGACGGCGGAGGCCTCTATCCAAAACGAAGGCCCCACCTCGGCAAGAAGTCGCGCAGAGAGGAGGGAGGGGGGAAGGGAGGGGGGGGGGAGGAAGAGAGGAAGAGTGGGGGAGGGAGGAAGAGGGAAAAGTGGCAGAGGGAGCGGGCCTCGAAGCGAAAAGGGGGTAGGAGGGGGCTTCGTCGCCGCCGGAGGTGACGGCATCGGCGAACGACGACGTCAGCAGCAAGGCCCCCGGCTGGCCGGCCCTCCCCGCCGCTGGTTCATTTCTCTCAGCATCGACGTGTCTGCTGTCGGTTCTCGACCTGAAACTTGCAATCGAAAACTTGCAATCGAGAACCTCCCAGGATGCCATGGCTAGATGCTGCTTGCATCGAAGACTTGCGCGCCCGTGGCGCGAGCCACAGCAAGAAAGCCACAGGACATGAGATCGATTCGTCTTCCTTCCTCATCCTCCTCCTCCACCTCTATCCTCATCCGCGCTGCCGTGGCCCGCCCGGGCCTAGGTACTAAAAGAATTAAAAGAAGCCCCAGCAACCCTCCAACATGATGCACCCATTGCTCACAATCGGCACGATGAAGGGCGCAAGATCATTCACCAGGATCCCGCGGCGTTGTAGGCGAGCAGGAAGCCGACGGACTCGAGCGTGCAGGTGATCAAAATCACGGCAGTCGGCACCCGCTCATGGAAATCTCACGGCGTTGTAGGTGAGGCGACCCGCTCATGGCTGGCGTCGTGTCCTCACTCCTCAGGCGTCGTGTCCTTCGTCCTGGCCGGAGTCCTCCTCCTCCTCATCATCCTCTTCCTCCTCAGCCTCCGCTTCGGACTTCTTGGGCTTCTTGCCCCCCGTGCTCTTGCCCTGCTGCGCGGCCTTCCTCTTCAGCTCCGCAATGAGATTCGACTTGGCATCGTTCCCCTCGGCCTTGCCCTTCTTGCCCTTCTTGCCCGTGCCCGCGTTGGCCTTGCGCTTCTTGCCCTTGGTCGGCGTCTCATCGTCATCGCCGGGGTCGTCATCCTCATCGGCGGGCTCAGCATCCCCGTCGGACTTCCCCAGCCTCTCCAGGAGTTCGGCCAGCCCGGCCTGGTACAGGGGGTGACCTTCCTTACCCATGGCCACGAAGACGAGGTCCTCGGAGGCGCCCCCATGGGCGCACACCATTTTGCAATGCCGAAGGCCTCTATTGCAAAATAGCTTGCGGTTTCAAACTGCAAGCCATTTCGCAATAGAGACCTTCGGCATTACAAAATGGTTTGCGGTTTCGAACTTGCGGCGGATAACCCCTTTTTGACTTTATTCGAAGACCCCTTGTTGTCTTTATTTGTGCATATATAATTACATGCATACATATATATATATATATGTATATATATTCCTCCCACTGTTACCCTCGCCCTCCACTCCCACCCAGGGTTCCTCCATCCGCACGCTGAGCGCGCGCGCGTGAGCCTGCGTGAAGCAAATGCCCAAGTAGGGCTTCCGCGAGGAGACGCAGGCCATGGCATAGTTCCCGTTGGGGCCCGTCAGCTCGATGACGCTCTTGAGATTGTGCGAATGGACAATTTCCTCCGCGAGGGGCGGCGGGGTCGCGTGGAAGAACACTGGCTGAATATCCTGGCCAGCGGGGTCGCTTAGCAAATCGAAAATGGGGAGAGAAAGGAAGGAGGAGGAAGAGGAGGGGTGGAGGTGGAGGCGGAGGAGGAGGATCGGAGGAAGACCGATCTTGCCTCCGCAACCCCCTCCGGCCCGCAGACGACAGCAGCGGCGGCTGGGATTTCGGCGGGCTACTCGACCAGGAGCCCTGCCCGCTGCGCATTCCTGATCCTGCGGAGGTGCTGGAGGAGGAGGAGGGGGAGCAAGGGGACCTAGCTCTCCCTCTCTCTCTCTCTCTCTCTCTCTCTCTCTCTCTCTCTCTCTCTCTCTCTCTCTCTCTCTCTCTCTCTCGTCTCTCTCTCTCTCTCTCTCTCTCTATCTATATATACAACATATATATGTATATATATATATATATATATATATTCCCTCACTGCCGAAGTGCGATGTCAATCCTTTTTTTTTTTTTTTTTTTTTTTTTTTTTTTTTTTTTTTTTTTTTTTTTTTTTTTTTTTTTTTTTTTTTTTTTTTTTTTTTTTGTTTTTTCTCACTCTCTCTCTCTCTCTCTCTATCTCTCTCTCTCTCCTCTCTCTCTCTCTCTCTCTCTCTCTCTCTCTCTCTCTTTCCCCATCCCTGCCGAAGATACGATGTCAATCTTATGTTGTTCCCTCTTGTGTGTTCTCACACATATCTCTCTCTCTCTCTATATATATATATTATATATATATGCTTACCTCCCTACTCCCTGCCTCAATTCTGCCCTGGCGTCCTCTTGCCACTCGTAGCCAGGGGGCGAAGTTCCGCCGACCGCAATGCGGTGGTCCTTCCCGAAAATAGCTTTCTTGTCCTTGGCCGAGAGCTTCCAGAATGTGGGGTCCTTGTAGGACTGCAAACTCACCTGGCACAGGATCGACCCGCGGTTCGTCCCCGGGTAGTGCTTCCCCGCGCGGCCGTTGAGGTTCACGGGGTAACGGCTGACGATATGCATCTGGTCCTCCTGCTGGACCATACCTGAGGACTGCTTGCGATACCGCTCGACGATGCTAGCCTCTGTGAAGCAGACGAACACTTCGAATACCTCCTTCGACATCCTCCCATCGTCGTCAGCGAAGTTGTTTAACATGGGGGTGGAGTTCCCGTGCTTCCCACCATCGAAGTTAAAGTACAAGTCCCCGTCGTGGATCCCTGCCAAGCCCCTGGAGCGAACCATGCCCATGATGAGCTTCTTGTGGTGGGGCTGGCGGAAACTTGGGATGCGATGATTTGGGCAAGTGATCGTCTCTCCAGAAGTCCTGACGTCGTAAATGATGCCGACGTACTCGCCCTTCTGGGAGTCCCCTCTCATCTGGCCAGCCGTGGACGCAGCGATCATCTTGGCCAGATCGTTCTCGCTGGACGGCTCCACGATGAACTTGCAGTGCGTCTTGACCAGCGTATTCGCATACTGGCGGTAATAGTTGAGCTTGCTGCGGTCGTCGTCTTCGGCACCTTTGGCGAGCTTCTGGAACTTTTCCTCGACGACGGAGGCCCCGAAAGACTCGGCGGCGCCGCTGGAGCCCGCGGCGTCGCCGCCGGTGCCAGGGTCATCATCTGCAGTGCTGGGGCCTCCAGCGGCGGTGCCCAACCTTTTGCTCTCCTCATCGTACTCCTCGTTGATCTCATTGACAAACTCCACGATGCCCGTGGACTGCACGGTCTCGGCGGCGTTCTTGCGGTTGCGGATGCATCCCTTGATGACCGAGTCGTAGCCATCCTTGCACAGCATCGCCTGACGAAGGAGGAGGGAAGGATCGCGCAACCGGCCCCCTTGCCTACCCCCGGCCTCTACCCCCTTGGAATACGTACTTCTCCATGCATTCATCATCCATACCTCTTCATCCCCCCTGCCTTCTACCTCGACGAGTTCCCCGAGTTGCCCACGGCAACCCTTGCTTCGCTGTGATTTCTGCGGTTTTGAATTCGCTCTGCCGCCCGCGCCACCCCCCTTGCCACAGGATCGCTGGCAGCGACGACGACGCAGGCCGGGCGCGCCAGCCGCGGGGCGGGCATGGAGGAGGGGGGGGGGGGAGGAGGAGGAAGAGGAGGAAGAGGAAGAGGAGGAGGTGGAGGAGAAAGAGGAAGAGGAGGAGGAGGAGGAGAAGGAGAAGGCCCTCAAAACCTCACTCCTCCTCCCAGCCTCGACGAGCTGGAAGGCGTTCTCGGCGGACCCGGGCCAAGTCCCCCGCCAGGTAAGGTCGCGGTCGTCGCTGGTGAATCCACAGGCTTGGCGGTAGGCCTTGTGCGAGGAGAGCACCGAGCGCATCTGCCGAACCTGGGGGTCCCACTGCGTGTAGGAATCGATGAACTCCGTGAGGACGTAATTCTTAAGCTCCAGTTTCTGGTTCGTCAAGTCGATGAGGCCTTTCCCACCAGACTGAGGCCCCGTGCCCTGGATGTACCTCAAAGACAGCGTCTCACCTGTCATGCTCCCACTCATCCAGGCGTCGTGGATCGTTGCCATGGCCCAATGCACTTTTTCATCGTCTTTTGCTTTCAGGGCTAGGTTATATAATTTGGTCAACGCGTTGAGGGGGTTCGCTTGGCCGAGCTTCTCATCGAGCTCAAAAAGCAGTTTCGCGGAGTCGGGGAGGCTCATGATGCGTTTGTCCACGAGGTTGGCCATCTGGACGTAAGTGTCTGAGATGGTCTCTGCGTCGTCCGACTGCTGCACGCCCTCCCGGAAAGCATTTGCCAACTGAACGTTAGTCATCGGCCCATGCGTTCTCTCCTTGCGACGCTTGAAGGCGAGGAGCTCGCAGAGCTCCTTTTGGGTAGGGGGCGGGGGGGGGGGGGCGCTGAGCACGTCACAAACAAACAAACGCCGATGGATCGGGGGACGGGGAAAAGGCACACGGGGGGGAATGGGCAGCATAACTTGGAACTGTCCCTGGGCATGCCGCCACAGCGTCACGCCGTCCGGAGCTTTCCAGGGGAGTCACGGTCGTTGCGTTTGATGTTCAGTTTCGGTCGGTGCCTGCACTGTCATTCGTCGTTGCGTTTATTGTATTATTTTGTTGTTGGTTTTCGTCGTCACAAACAGTTGACGTTTACCAGCGTTTGGTGACAGCCCATGGAGTCGCGCCTCCCCCTCCCCCCGCGGAATCCTGGAGCGCCGTGAGCTTCATGGCGGCGCTGTCCTGGGCGAGGTTGTAGCGAATCTGTCTGCCTGCCCTCCAGATGTCGTCGTCCGACTCCAGGATGACGTACTGGAACGGGCAGCTCAAGACGATCTGTTTCCATGAATCCATGACGGTGGCGTCCTTATTCTCGGAGATGTCTCGAGCGATGGCCTTCAGCAACGCGAGCCGAATCTCGAGCGGGGTGATGCTCGCGATGTTCCCCCACTTTGGCTTGGGGCTCTCCTCCTTCTGGACAGCGCAGACCATGGGGTGGGGCGGCGGCGCCGGACTGCTGAAGTGGAACTCAACCAAGCGCTCGATGTTCTTCACGTTGAAGGCAACGCCGCGGGTGGTGGACAGCGAATGGTTGATGGAGAGGAAATTGTTAGCGCACAAGTAGCGGTTCGTCTCGGCCAGGGCGGTCATGCACTGCGTCTCGTCGTAGGGCGCCTAGGGCAACGTAAAGAAATATGCACTGTTTCTGCGAGCCGTGGCCCTCAGAGCCCACCCTCGTTCCCCAGTCCCCCTCCCAAGGTGGCAGAAGGGGGCATAGTTTCACGTATTGCTGCGTTGCGTTCGCATTTTTTCTGGGCATTCACAGTTCTGCTGCGTTGCATTCACCCGTTTGCAATCCGTGATTGTCCATTCGCAGTTTTGCTTTTGCTGCGTTGCATGTTGCATGGGCCCCTCAGGTAGCAGAGCAAGAGGACAGCAGCCACCGTGGCATCGCAGAGTCACAACAACACATCACATATATAGATATACGGGAAGTTGTGTCGTTTTGTTTAGGGGTTCGAGCTATGGGGGGGGCCATCAGTGGGGTCACGGGCGCTCATTCCAATGCTCCCGCCTGCGACCCAGACGGAGGGCCATCGTCCATGCCGTCGGTCGCCCGGGCCCGGATGGAGAGCGCCTCGGCGGTCTCGATGCCAACCCAGGGCGGGTACTCCTTGATGAGTTTGAGGCACTCCTCAACCTCGACGTAGGTGTTGGCGTTCATCTCCCTCACCTTCTGAGGGTCATCCTCGCGCGCGTCGTGCCCCGGCTGCTGCGGCGGCTGCTGCTGTGGTGGCTGCTGCTGAGCGTCTCTGAGCGCGGCCGCCTTGCTGAGCGGGGCATCCCCAGCAAAGCCCCTCCAGGACCCCCCCCAAGTGCCCCAAGAGTTTCTGAAATCGCTCAGGGGCATTCCCGAATCGTTGCTGGCCCAGATTTGATTCCTCGGACCCTCGAGAGATACCCAGAGTGGACGGGGGCGGCAATTGGCTCCAGGGGGGGTATCCAAGAGACGAATCAGAGGTCCCGAAGAGTCATGGATTCCCCGCGCAGCCAGAGCCTTGGCCTTGGCTTTGGCCTTGGACTTTGACTTCGGGGCCATCGCTGCTCAGGAGCGTTAGTCGGAGTGGGTGTGGAGGCAGCGCCGCGGTGGATCCCATCAGGCTCGAACGCGGGTTGCAGCGGTGGTAGCGGGAGCGGGAAGGGTGAGAGGATAAGGCGGAAGGGCATGGGATTGGCAGGGTGAGAGGATAAGCGCAGAGGGCAAGGAGGCGTGGATAGACAGGGCAGAGAGTGAAGGGCGAACGGGGGTATGAGCGAGCCCGCCCTTGCCAGCTGGAGGCAGCCGCATCGATCACCCCGGCGAACGCGACGCGACTCCGAGGCCCGCCCGCTGCCCCCGGGACCCTTGCGCGCCGCCCGTTCTCTCCGACTGGACAGCCTCTATCTGACGACGCAGCCGCTGCCGCCGTCGTCGTCGTCGTCGTCGTCCTCGTCCTCGTCCTCTGTTGCGGCATGTCCTGAAGAACCGCGCTGGGGGGCGCTTCATCATCATCATCATCATCATCATCGTCGTCGTCGTCGTCGTCGTCGTCTCCGTCGTCGTCGTCGTCGTCGCCAAATTGACAAGGAAATCTGGCCGTGGCGACGAGGATCGCCCAGACAAAAACGAGAGCGCACTGGCGACCAAGTCAAACCAAGCACCAGCGGTGCACGCAGAAACCTCCTATGGAAATCCATTTTTCCAGCGTCGGCCAGATTGGCGCATCTTGCATGGGCGAGGTTTGCAATTGCACACGCCTCCCATGCAGGACCGGGCGCTCAGGATCGAATGACCCCTCGAGGCCCGATCGCGTCGCGCGATCTGGTTCTTGCACAGGGAGGGCCGGTGCAAGAACACTGTAGCGCTCCATTGATGCGACCGCCACCCCTCGTTCAGGCCCGGGCGCTCAGGACTGAATGGGGCGTGCTTGCAAATGCAAACCCCGCCCATGCAGGACGCAGCGTTCCAACGGCCAAAAACAAAATGGGGCCCCCGAGTAAACAAAAAATGTTTTTCGTCGGGCGCCGCGCGCCACGCGGCACTCCCAGGGAGTGCCTCCCCTGCCTCAGTAGCCGCAGATGCCGACGGCGGAGGAGCCTTCGTCGATCTCACCCTTCCAGAGGGTCTCGGCCTCGGCTACCGTCAGCTTGTAGACGATGTGCTGGTACTCCTGGCACGGCGAGGGGAACGGGTAGGAAAGCACGGCGTGGCAGGGGCAAAGAAGATGTGGGCATCATTACATGAAGAAATTGTCGCATTGGCGTGCAAATGCGAAAACAACTGGCATGGCTGGGAGCTGAGGGGTAGAACAAGAAGGCAAGTAATTTGAAAGCCGACGCTACTTGCACGGACGGCCATGGGTGTAATTAAAACAACTAATGACAGCGATAGGGGAAACATCAGAGGGAAGAGCAACGCAGGGCGCGGAATGTTACTCATGGACCCCGTGGCTGCATACAATAATTGTTGACGAACGTCGTGCTTACAGCACGCGGATCACCGCGCTCAGAGACTATCTCGGAAGGTATTCGTAGCGGACCTCACTGAGCGCGGGGCTTGAACGCGAATGGGTGCGCGCACGCATAGAGCATGTGCGTTGCGTGCGAGCGTGCATGTGAAAAGTGGCGCGACTGCAATGCGACGCTCGCTCGGGGGGGGGGGGGGGCAGCGGAGCTCCGGCTCGGTCTTCTCTGGCAGCGCCAAGAAGCACACGTGGATCACGCTCTTCCGGTTGCGGGCATGCTCCAAGAAAGCCCCCTTGTCGTTGAACCACTCCCACTTGGACTCAACACCAGCGCGCGTGAGGGATGAAATGATGTTCCAAATCACCGCATGCTTAGTCTTGAACTGGTCCGATGCCCACACCGCCCTCTTTAACCGCCGGATCGATTTGAATCCCCCCAGCCCTCCTGGGCAGGTGGTCTAGAGCGGCTTTCCCTTGCAACGCCCTTCTTCCCCTCCCCCCCCTGGACCTGGCCGGGCGGGGGCGGCGGGTAGTTGGAGCGTCCGGGATGGCCCGAGATGGCTCCAGGAGCGCCTCAGAGAGCCCAGAAGACCCCCAAGATGGCTCCAGATCGCCTTAGATGCCTCGAGATGGCTTCCAGGATGTTCCAACGAGCTCCAAGGCGGCCCCAAGACGGATCCAAGTAGCCAAAGCGCTCCCCAAGGAGGCCTCCAAGAAGCCAAAATCTTTCGAAACTCTATAGAAAATGTTTGTGATTTGCTTTATTGTCTGTTCGCTTCCGATGGCATTCCGAAGCCTCAAGATGGTTCCAAGCTGGCCTGAGAGGGCTC